TAGTCAATGTAAGAGCAGAAAATGTCCAGTGTGTCATCTCAAGGAAAATCAGAATAAGGACGAGGCTCCAGAGGTCACAACTTTTCAGAATATTTATATGCAATCCAAGGAAATCACAGAAAAGAGTTTTGTGTAAAAATGCCACTTGGATATACATCTGTTTTGTGCTATAGACATGTCTGACTTTTAAAATGTAGTAACTGAGAGGTAAGGAAGCTGTTGTGTGGACATGCTGTAGGAGCCAAGGTTTGCACGGCCTTTTACCATTCAATTTCTAATTTCTATTCCTGGGCATAAACTGGTCCTTTAAGCCATATGAATTATGTATTAAACTGAAGCAGCAGTGTGGGAATCTTTAGGTTGATTTTTGAAGATTACAAGAGTATTAGCATTCTGTTGAGGGACAGAGGGGAAAAATAAACTTACAGAAATGACCAGAAAGAAAGAAAGAAACTTGGTTCCCGGTTTGCTCTCTTAGGAACTGGTAAAGTAGACGTTAAGCCAGCAGAGTGGTCTCCAGCCACCACAACCTGAAGGAGCTCCAGGACTTACTTGAAAGCCTGAGGACTGACGGGCAGATGGGCGCAGGGAGGGGCCGGCTGGCCAGATGCCGTGGCTCAGCTCAGGGCCCTGGGCCAGTAGAGCCCTGGACTAGGAAGAAAGTCCCAAGCCCAGTAGTCTCTCTCTAGAGGTAGACTTTTGGTGGATTTTTTTTTAATGTTTTACTTCATTTTTCCATGGAGTTTCTCTGATTTACAGTGATTACTACTGAACATTTTTACTGGGAAACAGAGATTTCTATCCAAAACAATACAAAGATGCTATCTTGAAGTTCGGGTGATTTTCCTCTTTGTCTCTTTAAACTGCCAGCATTCCTAAACAAGGAAGAGTGACAGTGATAGAGAGCACTTAAAAAACAATTAACCAAGTAACACTTAAAGGCAATCAATTTCTTCTTTGAAGTAATAAATTGATTTTGCAACCACAGTCAAGGTGGATTAAACTGATGAACTATCATTAACAATATGGCTTTAAAATATTCCACGTGAAGGCCCCATAATATATCCCACCCATCACTTAGTTCCCAAATTGTCACTGTTTATTGCAAGCCAGTATTCTGAAAGCCAGTATCCTCACAATAAATCAGAGCACATGAGTTGTGGGTGCTTCTGACTGCAGAGCAGACCACTCTGGGCATACACGTGGTGTTCACTGGTGCGGCATGAATGCTTAAAACTGCATACTGTATTTTTGTCTTACAGAATTGTCTTGGTTCAACTGGTGCCTTCCTGGGTCGTGTTTGCTTAGTCTCCTCCTCATTCTGTGCTTCAGGGAATCCTATGACAGACTCTATCTTGATGTAGTTGTCTCTGTTTAATAGAGCAGACTTGAAGGAGTTTAAAAGGAGACTGGAAATCAAGACTGCACACTGCACATTTGCTCGGAGTTGCACATCTAACAGGAAAAAAAGGAGAAGAGAGAAACTTCCTTCAGAGGTTTTGTTAAGTTACAGATTGTCGCACTAATTTAATTACTAGTAGTACTAATGTATGGTATTAGGGAATTTAAAAACTCTACAAGTGGTGGACCTGTGCCTGCCTTCCGGGGCCAGAAGTCTGATGTCTTACACGTGGAGCACTCCCTACCACAGGTAATCCCGTGTGCTGTGCCAGTGCTACACTACTGAGTCGCGGTGATTAGGAAAGGAAAGAAAGGGCATCTGTCTCATGAAGAGAACTCCTCCTGAACTCACACGACAGAATAGGAAGAAATGCCACTAACTTCTAAGGAAGTTTAAACCTTATATCAGATTTTAATTACAAAATAGCCAAATGACATACGGATGATAGAAATTAGCCACGTGTACACTACATGTTTTTCTAATAAAGCAATTTCTTATGCGTCTTTACTTTCAATCAGGTCAGAAGCCTCTGGCCTCCTTGTCGTGGTGATAAGCGCTTTCCAGAGACTTCAGAACATAGGTGCTGTATCTGCATCTCAACTTGCCCTTGTTTCTGTGAAGACAAGTTCATCTGTGAAGCCCTTAAATGATTATAGCAAGGGTGACTAAACGTTTGATAGAAACTAACTATCATGTGAAGAGTATATTTCCGTTGATTTAGGACTTTGTTAAGAGCTATGATAAGCACACAGCATGTGTGTCTTCAGCCTATACATGGCGGCAGGAGCTGGAAAGCCCAGCACTGACTGTTAGTTACCAGGGTTAGATTTTATTAAATGACTCTTGTTAGAAAAGAACAACTTAGAACACTGGAACTTCTCAAAACTTTATGTGGTTATTTCTTGAGTTGTATCCTTATGTTCAGTATAGGGTGTAAAATACCCAGTTCTGTATGAACTCAAATGTATTTGACAGGGCGGTATTTTGCCAGTACCTGTTTTCTTTCTATGAATGATAGACTTTTTTTTCAACTAAGTTACTCATTCAAGGCTGTCAGACTTGTACGCCACTATGCATGCAGGCTGCTATAGTCCAGGAGGGTGATATTCTCCCCAAAGATCAAGAGTAACATTTTACCTTGAGTATTCTGTGCTTCTTCCAGCCCCCTCTGGTCTTTTTTCTCACTTGAAATTGTCACGCCATTGTGAGCTAGGTATTTGTTTTCTTTGCCTTGTTCTGACCCCCTGGTCCAAATGGAAAAGTGAAGGGAAGGACAGGGGGAAACATTCATTTCCACTGTCTCTGCACGCGCACACACACACACACACTGTACACCCTTTCCCCAACATATCTCTGGTCCTTTAGCAAGTTTATGGCTGTGCATTTACTCATCTTGGTCCTGGAGGAAGATTCCTAAGACCTTTTTTCTCATTTATGAAACTTGGAATGTAAGAAAACCCATGAGTGACTGGAGAGATGGCTCAGTAGAATAAGCGCTTGCCTGGCAAGTGCAAGGGCCTAAGTTCAATCCCCGGTTCTGCCAAAAAAGCAAGCAAGCAAGTCAGCCCACAAATGTAATGCCCAACTTCAGTGGCCTTTGAACCATCTCCTTTTCTAACCACCATGCTCTCTTGGCAGCAAAAAATGAAACTTGTTAAAGAGAAGAGGTCTTGTGAAGGCTAGTGCTGGTTTCATTAACACATTCTTCCTATATAAGTAAAAGTGAAATACAAAGAAGGCAGAATTCTGAAAGATGATTGAAAGCCAGCCACTGAGATAAGCTGGCCATGACCCAGATGCTAGATAACCACCATACTTTCCAGTTTAGAGAGGAGTCAGAAGGGAAAGGGGAGGAGTATGAAGTATTTGGCCTTAGCCACAGCTGTTGTATTTGAGGATGTTGCCGTATAAAATTCTGCTGTCATAAGACTTCTGATGTAGAACTTTTTAATTCTACTTTTAATACAAAATACAGAACTATATGTAAAGCATATTGCCTAAATAACCAATTTAGTTCAAAGACAACCCAAATGGGTAGTGATTAGCAATTCTTGCATTGTACCTGGCACCAACTCTGTTGTTCAGTTTACTAGGAAGCCATCTCTCTCCTCTGTGTTACTTTACCCCTCCAGAACATAATTGTTCCAATCACAAACTGCAACAGATTGAAGTGCTCAAAATTTCATCTGCCAAACCTGACAGGAAGGGAACTTGAGGGTGAGAGGGACTACATTATTTATCTGAATATTGCAAATCATATTTTCCTTGTTTTTATTTCTAACCTACATCAAAATAGACAAGTTTTATCTTTATATTTTTTATTCCACTGAGCCATCTCCCCGGCCCCCTATCTTTATATTTTTTAAACAAACAACCCAAATGACCTTTCATAACTGGAAGAAATTTAACCCTCCACTGATCCAAGCCCTCATTTTAGAATTCCACAGAATCTATCTTTAGAAAGGTAAAGTATCTGGTCAAAGTTTTAGTTTTGGTCTTTCCTCCATGTCCTCAAGATTGGTTCTAAGATCTCCAGCAAATACCAAAGTTCTTGCATGCTCAATTCTTCATATAAAATGGGTTACTCCAGAGTCTATAAATTGTAATCCTTTGGAAAAGTTACTAGAACTCTCATGAGTAAATTCCGATCTACCACTTCCAATACAGCTCAGGGCAAGAAAAAACAGACAGATGTATCTGCAGTTGTGGGAAGCCAAGGGTGTCCAGAGTGCAGGTGAACAGAGGTCTTGACCCAGGACCAAATCCTTTTAATAGTTTGTGAAAAGGGGAGTGCCTAGGGTAGAGAGATGGTGAGGATAGTGGGAAGCATGTGAATTCTCTAGGTAGGAGACACAGTAACACCCCGCAATGTGGCAGAGAGAGGTAGCAGAAAGAATACTGGATTCTAGTAACAGGTAATCCCTAAGTTTGGAAGCATCTGTATAACAAGTTTGAGAAAATATGCTGCATTTTGAATCAGCTGCCGTAGCTGTGGTGCTGGCCTTCAGTGCTCTAGGACATCACTGCCCCTTTCCCAAAGCACCATCTCAGCTGACAGCACAGCATCTCTCAGCCTCGCATGCACTCAGTAGGAGGGACGTATGTGTGGGGCACACGGACCTGTTGCTTTGCTTCAGGGGCACCTCCACTAGACCCATTTGCATTGCTTAAAGCCATCGAGGGTGCTGGGCGTCTCCCTAACCAGCTCAGTGCATATCAGCATGGGGGTTGGCAAAGGTGAGCCAAAATGGAGGCAGACTTTCTTCAGGGTGAGCCATCCTGGTGGTCTTCCACAATCACTCATGTCATCCTCCTTACAGGGGTGTCCAGCACCCAGCCCTTGAGCCTCATGTACCCCTAAACAGCTAGTAACTTGGCCCCACAAAATGATAAGCTGTAAACATTATTATGTGACATTTATTATGCAATATGATTGGTGCTGAAGTGCCAGGCTGTGGGGGAAGGGCTCAGTGCAGCGCTCACTTTACCTCCTGCATTCATTACACAGTCAAAGGGAAACAGTGTGTGTCAGATGATAAATGTGCTTGTGTGACTTGGTGAGTAAAATTAAATGAGTAGGGGCCTGCCAGATAGTGCAGCAGATTAAAGCGCCTGCTTAGGCAGACACAAGGACGGGGGTTCAATCCCCGGTGTGCCATGCAGGCTCCACCCTCGGGACACAATGAGAGGAGATTGAGACTGGGCATGGTGGCACAAACCTGTAATCCCAGCACTTGGGAGGCTGAAAACAGGAGGATCATTATGAGTCCAATCTGTGTAGTGAGGCCCTGTGGACCCTGTACTAAATGCATAAAATTTTTTAAAAATTCACTGAATACTGATAATAGTACTTCACCCTGCCTCCATGCATGGCTGCCTGTGAAGATGGGTGTGTTTTTTAAGGTTTTTTTTTTTTTTTTTTTTTTTTTGAGGGGTTTGGTTGTTCTTTGCAGGACTTGGGGTTGTACCCAGGGCCTCTGCACTGATCTACAGCCTCAGCCTGGTTTGGTTTTTGTTTTGAAGCAGGTTTTCACTAAGTCACTAAGTTGCCCAGGCCAGGCTTGGACTTCCGTTCCCTCCACCTCAGCCTTGCAGAGTTCTGGAATTGCAGGTGTGTGCCGCCACCTCCTGCAGGGCAGTTGTTTCTTGTTATTTAGGTAGGAAGTGAATTTTCACTCAGCGCAGTCAAAAGTTGGATTCTTGAGCTTTAAATCATCTCTAGAGGGGGCCGGGGAGATGGCTCAGTGGAATAAGTGCTTCCCTGGCAAACACAAGCGTCTGAGTTCAATCCCTGGTTCCTCCAAAAAAAAAAAAAATCATCTCTAGATCACTTATAGTACCACGGTCTTTTAGTTACGTATACCTACTATGTTATAACGTGTTGTTTGAGAAATCATAAGAAAAATCTGTACGCATTCTGTACAGATGCATTTTCTCATAAATGTTTTGATGTGCAGTGCATTGAATCAGTGGATGTGGAACCGTGGCTCTGCAGGGCCCACTTCAGGGGCAAAAGGAGGACTAAGATCTGTATTTTCTGACTCCTAGGCTAGTTTGTTTTCATCCCCTTACTTAGTTGCAGCTTGCCATAAACCATGTGGGGTGCTCTTGAACTTTCATTTCTCTCTGGAAATGATGGGGCTTATGAGTAAACTGCCGATACTGTGTATGTAGTGTTTAGGGAGTAAACTGAGGTGGTTGTCCGGCTTACAAGTAAAATTTCTAGACAAATCACTGTCGCATAGGGCTTCTAATGTCTCATAAGTCTTAGCATTCAGTGACATTGTATGAAAAGATTCTGATGAATAATTCAGTTCTCATAAACCTAGCCAACAACATTATTAATTGGTAAGGATATGTTATAGTGTTAGTTCCCTGGGGCTTATCAATTAATACTTCACCCTATATGGGAAGAAGTGTTTTTTAGTATGATCCATGGTGGAAGTATAGAGCAAGATAATTACACAAATGCATTTCACTGGAAGACAGAGCTAGTAAAACAACAAGAAGGACTTGAGTGTGTATTTAATTTTGTATATTTAAACATATATGGCCTAAGGGCCAGGTTTTTATCATGGATCATATATTCATATTTAATTACTGAGAATGTTTATAGCTTGTTTTTATGAAGTCCTTCTAATGAGGGGACCAAGCTATGGGATTTTAAGTTGAAGAGATTAAATCCCCATCTACTTATCTTTTAATTAGTTTTTCCTAACTCTTACTTTTATTAAAATCCAGGGATTCATCTTGTAGTCTGCCTGCATATATGCTTCATTTTAAATTCTGGATCAAATAAAAATGCATATCAAATTTTCTTTCGATTAATGTTAAAAGTGACATTAATTTCGTATTTGTCCCTGAAATAGGAAGTGTAGGCATTGCCGTGATCATACTGCAGTACTAAGCAAGTGTGAAAGCTGTGATTGGTGGCTTGGGTGTTGCTAGGGGTGCAGTGCCTGCCTGGCATGTGCAAGGCCCTGAGCTCATTCCCTAGCACCACAAAAAATAAATATACAAAAAGCTGTAATATGAAAATATATGACAATAAGAAGGAGATGTAGTATCAGAACATGTGATCAGGCCTCTTTTGCAAATATAGGGGAAAATATACTTCCACTTTAATTTGGAATTATACAGAAAGGAACAAGATAAAATTCATTTTTGTCCCATCAAATAGAGAAAGATATCAGGACTCGGGAGACAGCACGGGACCATCCTAGAGCAGACGTGGTATGTGCAGTTTAAGGTTGAAGAGAAAGCACTGGGGTTCCCCGTCTCACCAGCTGACATCCTGGCTCTCCAGTATTCCACACAAGTATCCTCTCATCTTTGCCAGAGCCTCAGACTTAAGGATTGGCCCTGGGAACAAATACCAAGGCCCTTGGGAGACCCTGAGAGTGTCAGCCCCAGCTGGGGCACAGCAGTGAGAGAGGCTGAGGACAGAGCAGGCAGACTGATATGGAGCTAAGTCTCTGACCTGAACCCGTGCTTGGTCAGGTCTGAAACAGTACCAAACTCATTCACCATGCAGTTTCCCAAGGCTCTGGCTTGTGCCCATTGCCTGCCATCCCTCAGCTGCAATTCTTGCAGGAATCCGAACTTGGCTCCTGGAGGAGACTCCCTGACAGGCTTCTCCCAGTCTGTGTGTCCCCCTCCACGTAAACACATGCTGACTGATCCTTTCTCTTCTCTGGAAGGGTTCACACTGGATCCTGTCCTGGCTATACATTTATGTAGATACATGTAAAAACTTAGAGGTCATTTTAAGTTGAATCATCTAGGAGACTATTTCCTGACCATGTTGGCATGAAGTTTATGGGCAGAATCGAATTTCTGAGACCTTTATCTCTCTCCCAGCTGAAGCTTTATCCAGTGGAGCAGTGGTTGGTGCAGAGGTTTCATAGTCTCACCAGGGTCCCAGGAGAAAGCTCAGTCCTCGGTGAGCTGAGGGTTGAGCAGGGCCACACACATGGGCCTCCTCCTGGGCAGGATGCCAGCATGTGCAGAACCTAAGTAAATCCAGAGAAAAGATTAAACAGCTCTCACATTTGGGTCTTCCAAATTAGAACATTGCCCTCAAATGGGAATTTCAAAGATTTTTAACAGGGTACAATCATTATTCATTGCATTCTTAAAGTGAGAACTAATTGCTTTATGTGGTCCTTCAGTTGCTATCTGATTACCTGGTAGGCCTCAAACAATAGCTTTTCATCTCTGCCTACTCTTGAAGAAAGAGCACAAGTACCCCAGCTGTTCTGTTCATTCAGGTTTAATTTAAAATTTTAAAAAGACAGCTAGAAAACAAAATAAAGCATGGAGTTGATTTCAGCAACTTTGATAACAATAGGAGGACACCAAGCCTTTTTGGCTTTAAACATGCTGAACTTGATATATTGGAAGGCTTGGTACTCCATGAGGTTATTGGAAAATGAACCCCAAATACTGCCTTACTCTTACGGTTCCCTGCTGGGTCTTCTAATTTATTACCAGAAGCTTCTGCAATCTATAATGCAAAGGTAACTTAGAGACACTGTGTTTACCTCAGTGGTAGAAAGTGATATTTTTTTAAAGCACTACAGTACAGTATTTTATTTAGCTTGGCTTTCCTCCCTTGTACTCAAAAGGATTATAGGATGAAAGAAATGACCTAATCCTACCACCCCATTTTACAAATAGGTATAATATTCAGCCTTGAGTTATGACACAGCTGGGTTTTAGCATGTCCCCACACTCCTAGTTCAGCCTTCTTTCCAAAATGACCAATATACTAGCAAAAAATAATTCTTTTAAAGTAAATTTTCTTTTACTTTTCAAGTTTTGAAAATTATATAAAAAGTACATGAAGATGGGGTGGGGAGATAACTCAAAGGCATAATCACCTGCCTGGCAAGTACAAGGTCCTGAGTTTGATCCCCAGTACAAAAAAAAAAAACAAAACATGAAGGCACAACCATTATAAAATGCCCAGGATCAGACAACAGAGTGAAGTCCCCCTCCACATAAACATGTGCTAATTGATCCTTTCTCCTTCTCTGGAAGGGGTCATACTGGATCCTCTCCTGTCTGTGCATTTATGTGTAAAAACTTCGAGGTCATTTTAAATTGAATCATCTAGGAGACTGTTTCTTAAACCATGTTGCCATAAAGTTTATGGGCAGAATCAAGAGTTTCTGAGACCTTTATTTCTCTCCCAGATGAATCTTTATCCAATGGAGCAGTGGTTAGTGCAGAGATTTCACAGATCTAACTATGTAACATCGAGCTCCATGAGAGTCTGATGTCTAAAAGTGAACTCCATTATCCATTATTCTGTTTTCTTATTGGAAATACCATTCCTCTTTATACCAACTACAGCTTCTGCACATTGAGAGAAGAAAATGAATGGCCCACCCCTAAATCCACAGAGATTTTCTTGACAGACCTTTAATGGTTCCCCCTTGCAGAGGCATGCAGTGTTGTGGAGCACAGAAAGGTAACAGAATCAAGTCATGCCATTGCATGGCTTAAAGATAAGCCGCCAGCTTGTGTGCGTTTCCTACAATGGAGGAGAGAGCTGGCTCCGAGGATTCCTCATGGATTAGACCAGAGAGGGCATGGAGAGCATGCTCTGGCCTCGGACCCCAGGGCCTGGCTCTCATCCCAGGCTGCTGACCTCAGCTACTTGACCTCGTGCAAGTGACATCATTTTTTCATTTATGAACATCTCTAAAATGAGGGCGTGAACAGCAATGTCCTGTAGGTTTCTTCCGGTTCAGCATCTCCAGTGCATGCTCATTTTCAGTGCTAGGAAATGATTTCCAGTAGCAAAACACCTGCAGTCTGTGAGAATAATGAGCTTCCCAGCACTTTCATGCTCCATTTGTGCAGCACCCCCCTCGTGCACACCCTCGCGTGTCCGTGAATATGAGAAGCTACACTGTATGCTCTTTCAATGCGAAGGAATGGCTTTTTGTGTGTCTGTGGTAGGAGATAAGCTGTGGGTGCTGTTTATTTTCCTGAAGGACTTTCTATATGAAATGTGAAGTTTATTAAATTTATCAAATGCATTAGGAGAAAAATCTCATCTGATGTTGAGATAGCATTCTGGGAGCCGGGTGGGAGTGCAGCATTTGTTCACTGGAGTCAGACCAAATCAGATACTTGTTTGATTCATCGTGAGGTGCCTTGGGTTTGCAGCTGTAGAAATCAAACTGACAGGTCTGATAGTAAGGCTGATCCTTGAACTTACGTCTCTAGAGTTATGACACAAAACTATTATATGCTGCTTGGCCACACTCTTTCTACAGAGCTGTGTAGACATCTTACCAAGATGCAGAATTACAGCATGTCGAGGTATGCTCTGTACGCAGGTGCCAGTACACACAGCTTCCTGTGGCTGATGCAGGCACACACTATCAGAGAGAGAAAGGAGCCCAGAGAGAGCCCAGCAAGAAGAGGCCTGGTGAGTGACCCCCTGGACTTCTGCCCCCTCGCCTCTAAATGGGAGAGTCGGAGTAGATGTTCCTTTCAGCTAATAAGTTTATAGTTCTCTGATCTACCTTTTAATCACACACAACAGAAAGTAGAAAAACGTGAGTGCACTATCTTAACCAGTACTCCCAGCTTAAATGTTATCTTTTCCCTAGACCCAGACTTTCCACAAGGTTGGTTGTAGTAGAGGTCCCAGGCAGACTGATAACTGTGTCAATTTATTCCTTTGTTCATTTATGCTTTTATTAATTCTGGATATGGAGTAATTTTATATGCACAGTGTATACCTGTGAAAGATAATCAGAAAAACAAAAGATGTTTCTACCCTTTGGGATCTTTTAGAAAGATTAGAAGAAGAAAATAATAATAAAAAAACTCCTGAACTAAGAATTACAAGAAATCATGACAGTTTTCCAAATACTTAATCATACCTAGCCCAAACCCACCTGTTTTCTCCTAACATCAGTAGCCACAATTGATTTCAAAAGAATATTCTGTTCCACTGAAATGTCCATCACCTGGCTCTGCCCTGGGCCATAGAATCCATTTTGGCAGAAGGAATCCCAAACCTTCATATTATTCCATTGCTGGGGACCTGGCTGATCTGTCCTTTGGGAAGTCGGGGGTGTTGGCACTCCTCACTTCTTCTAAAACAGAATTTAACAGCTGCATACATGCTGAGGTATGTATGCCCTAAGGCTTTAAGAGTCTCCTTTCTGATAAGAATTTTAATTTTACTGAAGAATAGGTATTTAACTCCAAAAGGAACTGTTTCTAATTATGAATTTGAGACATCCCCAGCCAGACTGGGTGGACCTTCTTTGGGGGCTGGAGGTTGTAGAGCCCCTTGGGCCCCGCCTCAGAGTGAGCATTATCAAGCCACACCTGAGGCATCTGAGATGGTCCTGCCTGCTAGGCACGGGTGAAAGCCAAAGAAGGCTTAATCTCTGCAGAAGATTTTAATAACTACCCATGTGTCCCATTCCAAATTGATTTCCTTCCCCACCAGAAATATATCCTTTTAGAAGCTTAAGTATCAGGAAAACTAAGTTAAATTAAGTATCAGGCAAGCTGCCACCCTTCTCCTCAGTTACATGCACAAGTCCTAAACAAAATCACTGTCACACTGTACACACGTAACTGCTTATTTTGAGTTTGTTCAGTGCTTCAGACAAAAGTGCCTGGAAGAAATGGAGAGCTAACTGACCCTGCTTCCCTGGGCAGGCACTCAATGGCCCCACCAGTGGAATCCAGCCAGAAGTGGAGGTGCATATCCACAGCAGGCAGTTTCTTCTCAGTCCTTCCCCGACTCCAGTAGTTTACCCTGCACTGCTCTTCCCAGCCCAAAAGTTATTGCTAATGAAACTGTATTCATAGTAATGCAAATGTCTCCCCTGCAGCTGGCCCAAGCTCCACACCCTGCTATTGGGAGCTGCACCTCGGATCCTTATTCCTTGTCCTGAAGAACCTTAACCTCCAACTCTCCTCCTCTTTTGTAATTGCACTTGCCCTTTCCAGGCAAGGAAAAGTCCTAATCTTTCCCACTTCTGTCTCAGAATGGAAAAGCCCCTTCATATTTGTCCTGATTTCACTCAAGCTTAATGCAGACTCCAGATGCAGCCCTTTTCCTCTGCCTGGGCCTGTCCTTTTCACCTGACTGGGAAGGTTACACTAGTGGGTGGGACGCTGACTCCCTTACCTATTACCAGTCAGTTCTTTGTTAGGTCCTGAAATGTGTTTTTTAATTTTCAGTGTTTCTTACATGAACTGCTCCTTTCCTCTTAAACTATTATCCTTTTCCTTCTACTTAGTAATATCATTTGAACACAATGAAACACTCTAAAATCAGACATAGCTTTTATCCTAGCCAATGGTGGAAGGAACATTTAAAGTTTTTTTTTAAATTACTATTTTAGGGAAGGGCCTACAGAGTGTTCAGGGTCTCACTACTAGATCAGACTCATAGTGATCTGCCTGTTTACAGCCTCCCAACAGGTGGGATTATAGGCATCCGCCACCATGCCCAATCTGAATCTCAGCGTGCCCCCAGTGGGACTGGCATGGCAGCTCCAGGGATCGAACCCCCAGCCCCTGCGCCTGCTTGCAGGTGCTTTAATCTGTTAAGCTATTTGGCCAGCCCTAAAAGATTCTTAAGAAGAGAAAGAACCAGCGTGGAGGAATTTGTATCCAATAATTCCATCAGCATCTTCTGGGCTCCTGTTGGATGCTGACTGCTGGGATAGACACTGAAACTGCAGAAACATGACAGATTCTTGCCCTCAGATTTGCATTCCAATGAGCCTATTCATTAAAAAAGAAAAACTATAATTCACAACCAATAACCTTCCCCAAAGGGTTCTTGGAAGCTTTGTAGCTCATCTCTACAGCTGTCTCAGTTTCTGTATGGGATCTTACTCTTTTGGGAAAATATACTCTAAATCCTATTTTCAAGCCATTAAAAACCCATGGTTGTCCCTATCAGTGTATAGTTATATATGTGACCTTTGCAAGAGTAAAAAATGCCGCTGGACAATCTTTGAAAGGAAAAGCAGATGAATCTGTCTGGATGGCTTAAAAATAAGTGGAAAAGTTTTTAGGAAAAACTTAAGCTTCCAGAGACTTCAGATGTGTCAGCATTCATTCAGGCATAGGATTAGGCCAAGCGAGGAGCCTCCTACCTACTGAGGGGGAGCAGAGGGACCATGTAGAAGATCTGGGAGACCACCTGAACTATGCTGCAGGCCCTGAGGGCTGGGGATGTAGGGCATTGGTAGAGCATGTGCTTAGCATATGCAAGTCCTTGGGCTCAATCCCCAGCACTGTCAAGAATAAACTATAAGCCAGCCCTGGAGCCTTGTCATTAAAATGTCTGCTGAGCTGAATTGCTGAGGAGGAGGCTTGGAGGTGTGGAGCTGTGGTGGAAGCAGGCTCTGGAAAGCAGAACCAGCAATTGGCTGCTTCTCTCTTGAGTCATCTGGCCCAGGCTCCCGCTCCAAGCACACCCTGCCTGCAGTGTCTCCGTCTGGCCAACTGCTTTCTCAGCTCTCAAGGGATGGAGATTCCACAGCCTCCCTCTGTTGTCTGTTCCAGACCCACTCCCCTTAGTACTTAGAAGTTCTTGCTTTCAAAGAATGAGAGCATCAAGAAACAGAGGAGAGGCAAGAGGAGCAGAACAAATTAGGGCGAAGGACCCCAGCAGGAAGAGGAGAGGCTGCAGGTGGGGAATGGCCTCCACATTTCACCCTTTGTTCCATTAAATATGAGCAGCTGACTCCTCAGCAGATGGGGATGGAGGAAGGTAAAACCAGCCATCTGGGGACGCTGTCCTCCCAGATCCTGACTGATGCAGTGGAGTGCCATTCTGCTCTGAGTAAGCAGTGTGCATCTAGACATCCAGCGCTGCCCTGGAGGAGCTGTGGTTTATTCAGAAGCCTGTAAGCTTTGCAGTGTCTCCCCTCCAAATAAACATTCTGTAATTGGAGTCATGCTCCATACCCGTTTCATTGTGTTTCATGTACTCCGCCAGAACACTTTTCGTACCAGTTCTTGGATGGAGATAAGCCTTGCGTAGTCCAAGGAGGACAGCACCACAGAAAGTTACTACTTCTTGCTCCATCAGACTTTTCCATCTATTTCCATCCTCTCAGCCACACACCCAGAAGCAAGCCAGAAAGCCCATCCACCCTAAAGCCCGGGTTCATTGTTGTTCCTGCTCTGTTCTCAAGCCATGGGGTATTTGACCTGCCTTACACCACTAGTGACCTGGCTGTCATAGCTCCACAGGAAATTGCAGTCGGAGCAGGAAGGCAAGGCAGGACTGGATGCCAGCTGGGAGGAAGAGGAGAGATGACTGCCTGCCCCTGTCCTGCCATGCTACTCTCCACACTGGGGACCCAGCATGCCCAAAGGACTCCCCGCACCTGCTGCCCAACCCACACCCATCTGGGACCTCCTTTGAGTCCTGACTCCCTTTCCAGGCTGCCCTCCTACTCCTACTTCCTCTGGGCAGCCTCAAGAAGCTCTAAGACTCTGACTGCCTTCCAGCTTGGAGAAGGAGAGTCCTTTCCTGTCAGAATCCCTGTCTGTCCTGGTGATGGCTTTTGGCTGAGTTGAGTGCAATGGAACTCTGACCACCACTGTTCCAGCAAGCTGCAACAGTCTCTGCCTCTGGGAGGGGGCTGGGACTTTCTCAGAGGGTGAGAGCCAGCTCTTAAAATTTCCCCCAGGACCAGGACCTGGCTTTAACATGGCCACACCCAAATGTAGGCTCTCCATGGGTGCCTTGAAGGCAAGGACTGCCCCTCCTGTGACACAGGTGTTCCCAGGCAGACTTTCTTCTAGCAGAGATGGTGCAGCAAGCATGGGGGCGGGGGTGGGGGAGCTTGAACACTGTCCTCATGGAAACTTGAAGCTGGGAGCCAGTGGATACAGGATCTGCCACCTGGGTGGGTGACAAATGACCCTTGCAGCACATCACAACTTCCAAAGTGTCCTGTGCATTTTTAAATAAGTCTTAGCCATGCAAAAATTGTACTACACTTTAATAAAACATTTTTTTTGCATTTTACTTTTATAATATTTGGGGTTTTATAGATTTTTATTTTATTGCCAAGTCTACTTTTGTAAGTACATGTTGAAGTCTTGAGTGTTTTTATCCTCTTAGGAAACTGTAGTTAATGTCAACTGTAAGCACTGATAAATATTATCCATGTGCAATTTTTTCTTCCTTTCAATTGGGACTTTTAAAGAAACTGTTTTGGCATCATGTTTTATTTAAAATGCCACTTCATTTTACACATTGAAGATTCTGAAAAAAAGATGCATTTAAAATCTCTGTGCTGTTACACTGTGGAAATGGTAATGTGCATTGCTTTGCCAAAGTGGTAATTAAATGCTTAATGGTTTAGAACTCCCTGTTCAGAATAGGGTTCTCGTCATCACTCATGGAGCAGGGCTTCCAAGAGAGCCTCCATTTCTTTGGAAAATGCACTTCAAGATGGCGATCTCCCGTTCTGTTCAGAAATATGGTGGTATTGACATCACGGTTGTCATGCTTGTGGTTTTGCAATAAATGTGTATTGGAAGCACTTATGATAACGTGGTCTGTATTTTGTTTTTAATCAAACTCCAAATGGCAGGAGAAATGGAGCCAAAGTTTCCTGAGCATTCAGGCAGCAAACTGTGGTGGGAAAACAAGAGCTTGGAAGCTGGAGCCCAGGCCCCTCCAGCTTCTCCACCAACAAGCCCAGAGACTGGAGGCTCTTTTATATCCTTTGGATACCTGGTGTTCTCGTCCCCTCAACATAAAATAATACTAATTAAAATCAAGAAGGGGGATAATTACATTTGCCTCACATGTGTGAAGGTTGTCAGATCAGAATGGAGTCACTGTGGCAAAGCCAACACATGGATCAGGGGAAGCCAGAGGGAGGGTTCTTTGGGACAATTGCCTGATAACAAGAACACAGAGGACTTTGCCTGGGAGACTGGGGGGTGAGCACTAGCACACAAGGTCCTGGGCTCGATCCCAGCAGTGCAACAGAACACCCAGAGAAATAAATTAGCAACCTCTACCACAAATTAACACACAAAAATGTTTGTCCATTAACTGCTTGTCCAACCTTGGACTGGTGGTTTCTTTCTCAGCAATCCTCATGGCCAAGGATGTAGGTCCCAAACAATCTATACAGTGCCCTCATGTTACCTTTAACAACTTCCCTTTCTCTCATCTTCCTCAAATCTACCTCATGGTTTTCACTGCAGTGTCCACTCCTGACTAAATTCATTATCCGTGGGTTTTGGTGATGCTGGAAAGAAGTGATGAACCTGAAATGCCCTGGAAGACTTTGGCTGCCCGACAGATATTGCTTGCCTTCTTCCTTTCCATCCCTCTTGCAACCTTCTTAGAGCCTTCAGCATGTAATACACACCATGCTATGCTTTTGTCTTATGTCCTTATTAGAATGCCTTGAACATTTTCCCAAGACAAGGGAAACTTCTATAATTTAAAATAATACATTCTACTGTTGGACATAAGGTTATCCCCGAGGAGATACAGCCTAAGGAATACAACGTTGTTTATTTTTCTTTGTCCTAGTTCCTAATGATTTTCTTAGAAAAAATACCTAGGTGGAGAGTTATGTAGTTCGACACACAAAGACCTTTCACTAGTTCCTGACGTGTATCTGCAGGTTCATTTCTTCCCAGCCCCATCAGACTCCACGTGCAGCTGGGCCCTGAGCCAGGGGTTTGCTCACATGAGGAAGGTGACAGGAGGGGAAATCATGCTGGCTTCTCCTTCCTTTGCTTTTGTTTACCCTTTTTCATAAATCACACACCTTCTGCTTAGACAGGCCCTGATTTACCCTTTAATTCTTATATTAAAACATTGGAGCTATTAAAGGTCTTTAAGATTGTATTCAGTTCTGAATTCCAGCTATACAAAGAAGAAAGGGAACAGTGTAGGAGATAGTCCAAGGGAGAGTAATTATAGAGTTTGTGTATGTGGCGATGGAAAGGTCCTTTACGGAGACACATTTTTTCCTAGTGGTGTCCTTGCTGTTTCATGCATAATTTACCGGATGGGTATCATTTGTTCCCCCAAAGGAAGCGAGGGAGGACATATTTTGAAATTTTGTCAATGAAGCAATTTTTATGAAGCTCCAAATCCTATTTTCCATATTTACTTTGACATAGCAGTGAGTCAGATTGCAGGAAGGAGCCTTTACCCCCAACGCTCAGCTCAGTAACAATGATGATAATTTCAAGTGCTTGCTTTGCGCCTGATACTGTTCTAAGCACTTTCCAGGCTTCAGCCCTCACAGCAAACCCTGAGTGGGTTCTATTATTAGCTCCATTTTGCATAAGAGGAACAAACCGCCCAAGGTCACATAGCTGGGGAGCAGAGGGGCCGGGTTAGGGCCTGGACTCCACCCAGGAAGCCGTAGGTGCTGGGTAATCCTTCACCAGGCAACCAGGGATAGAAATTTCTCCAATGTCCATGTGCTGTATTTGCCAGGCTGTGCTGCTGTTCTATAATAGATTTACTCTTCACAAAACTCTTGAGGGGCAGATAACACTGTCGGCTTCCCCTGCCCCATCACACAGGTGGTAAACGGTGGGGCTGGTATTCAAAAGTCCTGGGTGTTTCCTCTCCTCAGGGGAATCCTCAGGGTCTTTGGGATCCAGGCTCCAGAAGGCAAGAACGTGAGAATCCCAGGACTCCAGGAGCAGCTTCCCAGCACCCTTCTGAGCTGGCCCCTGATCAGAGGTCGCGTTTGCTTTCTCCAAGCTTCTCCGCTCAAGTTCTCCGCCCCCACCTCACCAAGCAGACACCTTTCTCACCCTTGACAGTACCAGAACAGTTGCTCTGTCCCTGTAAGTAAAACGATATAGCCCCCTTTTCCTGTAACATTCTGTTGTATCTGAGCGGGACCACTGAGACACAAAAGAACTTAACAAGCTGCCTCTGTGCTCCTTCTGCCCACCCACAGTCTATGCCAAAGGCCAACCCCCATGACCACGTGCACAAAAGCTGGAACCCGTCCTTTGCCCTCTGCTCAGCTAGTTTGGATTTATCAGCTGAGCCGATGCATACTGAGAAATAAAGTCCTCCTGTTCCCCATTTGGTCTCTCCCTCCTGTCCCTTAAATCCCGCGACTTTTCCACTGCGGAGGTCTTGGGATGTAATAACCTCCTCATGGCCCAAAACAGTGGGAAGAGGCCCAGGCCTCGTCTAACAAGTTAGCACAGCCCAGAGGAGGGCTCCTGTCCTGTATGTCCTTCATTCCTATAGCTCTAGGATGTGCAGTGTGGCATCAAGAATGGAGGAGATGTTCCGAACTTGTGAATTACAGGGTGGGGAGCAAGAAGGAGGGCAACTATTGATTAATAACCTTGCCCCCGCCATTCCCTAACTATGTAAAAGAGCGCCAAACTCAACCGATCAAGGGTGAGCAGCAGCAAAGCTACTCAAGCACTCCGAGGAAAAACGGTGCAGGTGGCCGAGTGCATTCCTGCCGCACTGCGCACCAGCGTCGAGCCCGCGAGCCTCCCCTTGCGCTCAGGCTGAGGAAGCGGCCCATGATGCGCCGCCCTTGCTGCCCCGAGCTGCTTCCAGCAGTGAAGGGAACCCTGCCGGCCCTCTCCTCCTTCACCTTCACCGCGAAGTCTGGGGGCAGAACTGAGCCTGCAGAGAGAGGGGAGTTACCTAAGATTGCTGACAGGTGGCCAGTACAAGTGCAAGTAATGGGGACCTTGGAAGAGGTCAGGTAGCACTGGGCATTTGCTGGGACATTAGTTCCATTAGTTTTAAACCACCGTAGAGCTGGGACACAGCTAACTTCCCACATTTAAAGTGTGAATGAGTTCTGTACGCACCCACCAGAGGTCAAAAACTTTTCCCTTCTCCCCTCCTGTCTTCATACCGCATTTGCAAACTGTCGCAAAGCGTTTCCCGTCGTTTTACTTGGTTTCCAGCAGAGTACTACACACTCTCCAGCAAGCAGTTCATTTAACTAGTAATTAATACATGGTGTGCAAACCCTGAACCTACTGGCACACTAAGGCGCTTACACATTCGTTCTCTCCCCCACACCCATTAATTTTTCTTATTCTAAAAATAACTCCCATTCTAAACCCCTCCTCTCTAAACTTTGGCTGTGTATTTAATAATTGTCGGAATTTAACTATCTTTGTAATGATACCAATAATAATCATGTTATTTTGATATGAAGTAAAATTTTGACTTAGATCTTATAGGAAATTTTCAAAAATGGTTTTGCAGTTCTTGAGAAAATTAAAATTATGACTCAAAGATATTTGAGTTTCAGAGAAGCAGGCTAGGGTGAATAATAAAAGACTTTAAAGCTTCAAAATGTATTACAGGAGGATAAAATTCTATGGAGGAAACAGAATGGTATACACAAGCTTAAATAATGAAAGGAATAATGTGTATTTCTAACTGTTTGAGAACTCTTCCTGTACTTTTTTAAACACTGGGCTTTTTAGATTCTATTGACTATGTTTAAAAGATAGCTTTATTTTGTAAATGTCAGTATTTACAGTATGCTAGAAATTATATCTTTTGAAGCTCTTTAAACTATGATGAAAAATTCTGGATGCCAGTGTGAAAATGGTGAGGGTGTAACCAAAGTTTTCAAAGTCCTTTCAGAAAAATGTATGGTAATGGGGCTGGTGAGATGGCTCAGTGGTCTAAAGCACCTACTTAGAACAAGCTTAGCAAAACACAGGGACCGTGGTTCAATCCCCCAGCACCACATGCCAGCCAGCCCTGCCCCCTGGTGGGCTGAGCTGGCCACACACACACACACACACACGAATAAATAAATAAATAAAAATGTTTAAAAAAAAAAAAAGAAAATGTATGGTAAAACAAAATATATGGAACACTAACACCCACTGCTCTCTTGCCACCACCAGCACCTCACATAATAGAATGAGAAAGAAGGTGCCTGGTGCCAGCTGGGCAGGCATGGTGTTCAGGGAGCTGGCTTTGTTTTACCTCAGCACTGCAGACTCTTCCATCTGGCCCAGGCAGGCAAACACGAATGTGTTAAACTCTTCTCTGAAAGGGAATTTAAAGATGAAGCTCCTCAGCCCAGCTAATCTTACATCCTCCTGTTAGGGTGCTTGGTAGAGGTAGACGTTGGAAGAGAAACTTGAGCCAGGAGTTAGTTCTGAAGCACACCTGTGGGTGCCCAAGAGCTTGTGGTCTACAGCTGTAAGAACCTGAGTCTTTAATAATAATAATAATGACAAAAGAACCTGAGTCAGTCAATCTGCTTAGGAAGAAGGTGAAATGGCTGCTTATCTGGGCAAAGCCAAGAGGACTCTTCCCCTC